AGCTGGTAACTATCCTTGGTGTCAGGGTTGACAAAATGAGCAAGAAAATGGGTTGAAGCTCATTAGTGCATAGTCTACTGTAACCAAGCTGCAAAACTTTTCTAAAGCTGTCTCACAGACACATTTTCTTTTTAAAATGCCACCAGTAATGCTGAATCATTCCTTTCTAAAGGGGCTCTTTTTCAACTTTACAGCATTCTAAATTTCAAACATTTTTAAGTTAAAAAAAAAACTCTTAAGTTTAAGATCTAGGGTATTTTTATATATGTATATTTTCAGTGTCCAGGTTATTTTAGAGCTGTGACTCTTCTTCAAACACTATTCTGGCCTGGGTGACCGGCGCACAGTGCTGATTTACGCACATCCCAAACATATAATCAGCCAGGCCCTGAACATGACTGGGCATGGGTGCCCCTCAGGTCACTGAAGAGCAAGTGTTACTTGTGATATCACAAAACCAGACTCAAGTATTCCAGTGGACGGTACTGCTCTGTCCAGCTGCCCAAAGCATCATGAAAAGGAGAACATTCTGATGATGTTAGAAGTCATCCTTTTTTCAAATCCTTAGTACTGTGAGCTGAATTATAGCAGTCCACGCAAAGCACTAAGCGACATCAGGCCAGGTCAAAAAACAATTGGGTTGATAGAAGAAATAACTAGGATTTTAAAAAGTTAATGAATTTCATCTTCTTGATTTTGCACATCTGCAGGCAACACTGCCCACTCGCATTATTGTCACAGTAGTACCTAGCCTGGGAAGAAAGGTAGCAACACAGTAATCCCAGCACTTTGGGAGGCTGAGGCAGGTAGCTCACCTGAGGTCAGGAGTTCAAGACTAGCCTGGCTAACATGGTGAAACCCCATTTCTACTAAAAATACAAAAAAATGAGCTGGGCGTGGTGGTGCACGCCTGTAATCCCAGCTACTGAGGAGGCAGGGGAATCACTTGAACCCGGGAGACGGAGGTTGCAGTGAGCCAAGATCATACCACTGCACTCCAGCTTGGGCAACAAGAACAAAACTCTGTCTCAAAAAAATTGAATAAATAAAATAGTTTTCCATTGATATTCCCATAAACTGATCTAATTATTTTTAAATAAGTCACATTTGGCCGGGCGCGGTGGCTCAAGCCTGTAATCCCAGCACTGTGGGAGGCCGAGGCGGGTGGATCACGAGGTCAAGAGATCGAGACCATCCTGGTCAACATGGTGAAACCCC